TTCTTTATTCAATTTAAAATTTTCCCATTGGCTTTGCTGTGTGCGCGCGTGTGTGTGTGTGTTCGAGTCTGTATATGAGCACAAAAATGAGTTACAACTTTCAATATAACAACCTATGAATGAAAAAAAATGATAAAAATGATCGATCAGTTTGTACATACATATAATTAAAGCCTAGAACGGGATACAGACAGCGCAGACTGTAGCAGACGGACATACTGAAATGGATGTACATAGACATCTATGTACAATCTCTCTCTCTGTCAATATGTGTATGGGTGTATTTATGTACATAATGACATTTTGTCACTGTGTTTATTATCGGGTGTATAACTATTTACTCGCATATGTCAATTTACGTTTGTTTGTGTGTGTGTTTATGTATACATATACATATGTATATATAACTTAAGCACTCTTGTCCCTTTTTTGTCACTAAATATACACATATGTATGCTATGTATGTGGGATTTGAACCTGGCGGGCAATCACAAAAGGGGCACACTAGAAGTGGTGCGAGTTATACGGCAACCCTCTGATCACCGGTCGATAGCCATGAATCGATAACACTAGTCAACACGATTTTTCCTCAAGGAACAAAACGAACTTTTTCTTAAAGATTTGAGGCTTAGAAATGGTTTGATGATATTTTTTTTTTTTTCTGTGGCAGAACTTTTTTTTGAAGAATTTTGGAAAACTGGTATTTTTTTGTTAAGCTTTTTTCAGAGGAAGCGCTTGTTTTTTTCACATAGCTCTAGTATCTTACGTCTGGTTGTAAAGAACTTTACTATTTTGAAAAGGTAATTAAAACAGCTAGAAGTTAAGCCCAAATACTTTGTGATTTCAGCTTACCGTCTGGGAAATAAAAAGCATTGAAATGCAAATATGATGGTTTTTGTGCGGTATTTGTTACGAAATTTTGACTAAAAACTCAGGAAAAGTCGAAAAAAAGTCGGCCCGCCGCCTTCCAAAAGGTATTTTTTGTTCATTTTTTCCATTTTTTAGGTTTGGTTAACGATGTTTAGCTCCAAAGTCTCTCCATAGATTTTAATGAGCGATACCTGGAACGACGCCAAATTAATGCACCTATACACAAAAAATAGAGGACACAGGATATAATTTTTTTTCGACTTTTCCTGAGTTTTTAAAGTCAAAATTTCGTAAAAAATACCGCCCAAAAATCATCATTTTTGCATTTCAATGCTTTTTATTTCCCAGACGGTAAGCTGTAATCACAAAGTATTTAGGCTTAACTTCTAGCTGTTTTAATTATCTTTTCAAAATAGCAAAGTTCTTTACAACCAGACGTAAGATACTAGAGTTATGTGAAAAAAACAAGCGCTACCTCTGAAAAAAGCTTTAAAAAAAAATACTAGACTTCAAAAATTCTTCAAAAAAAAGTTCTGGCATAGAAAAAAAACCATAATTCTTTAAAAAATTTTAAAGCCCCATATCTATCAGAAAAAGTCGGTTTGGATCCTTGAGGAAAAAAAAAGTTCGATTTTGTCGAGTAGTGTAACCTACCCGAGCGTCGTTGTGAGCGGGGTCGTTCCTATCGTGTGGTTAAGAAAAGAAGTAAAAATAAAGTGGTCCACAAGAAATACTTTTACGAGAACTAATTTAAGCACAAACTGTATCACGTTTAAAACCTATCCTAAATACATTAAATAAACACTGGAATACTTTAATTTCCTACATGTATAAATTAAAAACTATATAAAAATGTTGCTTAAATTATTGCTTCTGTATTTGGGCATATTTCTTAGGTCGATTTTGAGGCTTTATCCTGCTACTTTCACCATCCATCTGTCGGATTTCTGTGGAGCTTATATCGAACATTTTTACCCGCCATTTGAGTTATATTTTTTTATGAACATTGGTTGCCGCGTGGTACGACTGCGACTGCAGTTTGACAACGAAACAAATAGCAGCAGCGTATGTCAGAATGTGCTTAGGTTAGGTTAGGTTAGGTTGAGGCGGCTGTCGGGGTTGTCAGAGACCCGACACACCTAGGCCGGTTTCGGCCCATTGTGATACCGCATGTTTCGTTCCCATTCTCCCTCGTGAGACCCTATGTTATCCATTATCCCATCCGGATGCCCTTATGAAGCCTGGGATCCGTCTGGGACTGATTTTAGACATGTCCGAAATGTCAGTTAGAAAAGGAGCGCCCAAGTATTGAAGTCTCCTTCTACTGAGAGCCGGACAGGAGCAGAACAGGTGTTCCACAGTCTCCTCCTCGTCCTCATCTCTACAGCTTCGACAGAAGTCGTTATATGGGGCGCCCAGCCTGTTTGCATGTGTGCCTATTAGCCAGTGTCCCGTAAGGGAGCGTATGACTGAGCTGCACCTACTCCTACTGAGTTTGCAGAGCTCATCGGTGCGCTTCCTATTAATGCTAGGCCATGTTTGCCGAGTTATGCGACATAGTGGCACAGTTTGCCATCTGTCATTTATTAGTCGCTTAAAATGTTCTTTTGTTTTGAGCTTGCATTTGGCCATTGGCATACGAATATCCTCCTTATCATTGAGAAGGGGGATTGTTGTTCCAGCTCTGGCCAGCTCGTCTGCTATGCAGTTGCCTTCAATGTCCTGGTGGTTTGTGCTTTCAAACAAATGTGCTTTCAAACAGTTTTTTTTTTGGGCAAGAAAGGTGCGATGCATCTGTAGATAATGCAATTATAATTTATTGTTTCGTTTTTGAATACTGCACCAGGACAAACGAGAAGGAACGTATGAGTCAGGAGGGAAAATGCATCACAAAACGGAAGCTGTGAAACACCTTTTGACATTGGGCTGCAATTGATTGGATTGAAAGATTTTGGAACACCCAAACGCCATTTAGATCGGTTTTTTACAATTTTTTGTTTCTCGAATGCGACAGCGACTGGCTTATAAAAGGGCGAGCAGCATTCGCCTGTATCTCTATATATGTATATATTTGTATGTGATGTTCTTAATTAATGCTTTTCCAATTGAGTACTGTATACATATGTATAAAGATATACATATACGCGTATGAATGCTATATGCTGTATGAATTATAAACTAAATAAAAATGTTGCTTAAATTATTGCTTCTGTATTTGGGCATATTTCTTAGGTCGATTTTGAGGCTTTATCCTGCTACTTTCACCATCCATCTGTCGGATTTCTGTGGACCTTATTTCGAACATTTTTACCCGCCATTTGAATTATTATACCCGTACTCAAAAAAGAGTTAAGGGGTATATTAGATTTGTGGTAAAAGTGGATGTGTGTAACGCAGAGAAGGAAAATTTTCCGACCCCATAAAGTATATATATTCTTGATCAGCATCAATAGCCGAGTCGATATAGCCATGTCTGTCTGTCCGTCCGTCCGTCCGTCCGTCCGTCCGTCTGTCCGTCTGTCCGTCTCGATGAGCGCCTAGATCTCAGAGACTATAAGAGCTAGGGCAACCAAATTTGGTTTCCACACTCATGTGATATCACACTGCTACAAGTGTATTTCAGAATTTCGCCCCGCCCCCTTCCGCCCCCACAAAGGACGAAAATCTGTGGCAGCCACAATTTTAAAGATACGATAAGACTAAAAACGCAGTATAGTAGAGAATGCCCATATCTACCAGATTGCCGAATCTGAATCAGATCGGATCATAATTATAGCCAGAATGAAGAAATTAATTTTCAGTTGCTTCCCCTCCCCCTACACACACAAACGACAACGCAACTCATTTTCCTTCTCGCTCGCACACTCTACCGCGTTCAGTGCGCGAGCAACCCCTAGCGGAGGAGATGTAGAATCTAAATGGTACATGTAGAATATACATGTTAGATGTATAATATAAATAGTATATGTAGATGTTGATAACAGATGTAGCAAAAAAATGTAAAATTTTTTTTTTTTTAAGTTCTAAATAAATATATGCTTAAAAATGTATATGCTGACTGAGTACGGGTATAGGTAGAGTCGCGTCCCCAGAAGCGACTCACACGTTCCTTCTCGTTTTTTTTTATGAACATTGGTTGCCCCGTGGTACGACTGCGACTGCAGTTTGACAACACAACAAATAGCAGCAGCGTATGTCAGAATGTGCTTTCAAACAGTTTTTTTTGGGCAAGAAAGGTGCGATGCATCTGTAGATAATGCAATTATAATTTTTTGTTTCGTTTTTGGATACTGCACCAGGACAAACGAGAAGGAACGTATGAGTCAGGAGGGAAAATGCATCACACAACGGAAGCTGTGAAACACCTTTTGACATTGGGCTGCAATTGATTGGATTGAAAGATTTTGGAACAATTTTTTGTTTCTCGAATGCGACAGCGACTGGCTTATAAAAGGGCGAGCAGCATTCGCCTGTATCTCTATATATATGTATATTTCTATGTGATGTTCTTAATTAATGCTTTTCCAATTGAGTACTGTATACATATGTATAAAGATATACATATACGCGTATGAATGCTATATGCTGTATGAATTATAAACTAAATAAAAATGTTGCTTAAATTATTGCTTCTGTATTTGGGCATATTTCTTAGGTCGATTTTGAGGCTTTATCCTGCTACTTTCACCATCCATCTGTCGGATTTCTGTGGAGCTTATATCGAACATTTTTACCCGCCATTTGAGTTATATTTTTTTATGAACATTGGTTGCCCCGTGGTACGACTGCGACTGCAGTTTGACAACGCAACAAATAGCAGCAACGTATGTCAGAATGTGCTTTCAAACCCTTTTTTTTTCGGGCAAGAAAGGTGCGATGCATCTGTAGATAATGCAATTATAGTTTTTTGTTTCGTTTTTAGATACTGCAGAAGGAACGTATGAGTCAGAAGGGAAAATGCATCACACAACGGAAGCTGTGAAACACCTTTTGACATTGGGCTGCAATTGATTGGATTGAAAGATTTTGGAACACCCAAACGCCATCGGTTTTTTACAATTTTTTGTTTCTCGAATGCGACTGTGACTGGCCTATAAAAGGGCGAGCAGCATTCGCCTGTGTCTCATTCGATGCACGACTTTTGTGATCCGCATGCCAATCTGGGCAAGGTGCCGCCCATCTGGGTGCCGGACAACATGGCCGGGCAGTGCATGCAGTGCCACCAGAAGTTCACGATGACCAAGCGGCGCCACCACTGCCGCGCCTGCGGAAAGGTGCTCTGCTCCGTCTGCTGTTCCCAAAAGTTTCGCCTGGAGTTTGCCAACGAGCCGGAGTCACGCGTCTGCGTCCAGTGCTTCATGATCCTCACGGAACGGGAGGCCTCTGGCGGCACTTACCCGGACAATGCCTCCGCTCCTACCTCGGCCCTGCCGCCCACGCCCATGCGCTCGCCGAACCCGAACAATCCCATGGAGTACTGCTCGACAATTCCGCCGCACCATCAGGTGGCCGCTAGTCCCGGTGCACCGCCGCCCAGCGTGATTGTGCCCGTGGGCGTGCTCAAGAAGACCGATGGCAGCTCCAACTCGAATTCCTCATCGTCGGACAGCAAGAAGGGGCGCAAGTGCAAGAGCGTCATGTTCAGCGATGGCATCGCCCCAGGCAGCGAGCTGGCCAGCACCATGGAGCAGCAGTGGGGCGAGGCCAAGCAGGCGCGTCGCGGCATTCCCCGGAGCAACGGCGGTGGCCAGAAGCCACCCACACCGGCGACCGAGGAGCCACGATCCAGTATTGAGAGCGCCACCAGCACCACCATGGGACTGGTGGCCCAACTATTCCGCGGCTCCATTCTACCAAGCGCCGCTGCGGCCACCCTCACGGCAGCCGAATCAAGCGGTAGGTGTAAGACCCAAAAGAACTGTCATCCAATCTGATCCTTCTTCTCTGCTCCACAGGTGGTCGTCCCACGGCCCAGACTTCGCCGCGTCGCAAGGCGGAGCCTGTGCGCTCACGAAAGCTGCCGCCAAATGGCGATGCCCATGGCTGCTATCTGCCCGTCGAGGAGAACGCCCTACCGCCCATTTGTGTGGGGGGCAAGGAGGCCGGCAGCTGTGACGTGGACTACAAGGTGGTCCGCAACGATGGGGATCTCCTGGAGCGACTGCAACACGAGACGCTCAAATTTATCTTGAAGAACAACTTCTACGTTCTGGTCAAGATCATCAACAGTGAGTGGTGCCTTGATGCTCCTTGATGATCCACTTATAATCCATAATCCATCCCTCCATTCCGTTGTTCCTCCAGTGAGCTGCTGCATGAACCGCTGGGTGCTGAACTTCACCACCTCCGGACTGCACCACATGGGCAATGACGAGCGGGTTATTCTCCTGGAGATTAAGCAGCCCCCCAAGCAGGGAGAACCAGCTGCAGGAGAGCCGGCAGTGCCGCGCGACGTATTCCAGCACCTGTACGAGATCTATGTGGAGGCGGAGCAAGCACGCTCCAGCATCCAGGAGCTGGCCTTCACCAGCCCCAGGAGCGCCAATTTTCTTGGATCGCGAGAGCACGGCGGCTTCATCTACATCCGGCCGACATACCAGTGCCTGCAGGGCGTGATCATACCAGAGAATCCGTATCTGGTGGGCGTGCTGATCCATCGGCATGAGGTACCGTGGGCCAAGGTGCTGCCGCTACGCCTGATCCTTCGTTTGGGCGCCCAGTACCGCTACTATCCCTGCCCGCTGATCTCAGTGCGTGGTCGTGAGTCGGTGTATGGGAGATCGCTCAGACGATCATCAATTTCCTGGTGGACTTTCGCAACTACTCGTACTCGCTACCCGCCATTCGGGGCCTGTACATCCACATGGAGGACCGCCAGATGACGGTGATCATTCCGCGATACCGCCAGCAGGACGTGATCAAGGCGATCAACAATGCCAGCGATCACATTCTGGCGTTCGCCGGCAACTTCTCAAAGGTGGCCGACGGTCATCTGGTGTGCATGCAGAACATAAATGACGACCGAAACGAGATGTACGCCTACTCCACGCAGGCCATAAACATCCAGGGCCAGCCCCGTAAGGTGACCGGCGCCAGCTTCTTTGTGCTGAACGAGGCGCTCAAAAGTAGCAGCGGTTTGTCCGGCAAGTGCAGCATCGTTGAGGACGGCCTCATGGTCCAGATAATGCCCGCCAAAATGGAGGAAGTGCGTCAGGCGCTGCGCAATCAAACAGACATCGACATTGTGTGCGGTCCCATCGATGCCAGCGACGACCAAAGCGAGATTGTCAGCATCAAGTGGGTGGACAACAATCGCGACATTAATGTGGGGTAAGGCAACAGCTGATCCTCCACCGCATTGCACTATGGGGAAAATTCTGATTTTTTGGGTATTAAATAATAACTTTTAAACTAAGCAAGATTTTTCGATGCGGTTTTTTGATTAATGTTATGCACACCCCTAGAAAAGTGGGCGTGTTACCGCCCACAAATTAATTTCCATTTTTCATTAAAATTTTGGCAAAAAATATGAGTATTGCTCTTTAAATATAAGAAATGTTTTAAAACATAATTGTTTTTTATTTAATATCCTCTTAAAAAAATTAAAAATTACATTTTCTTGGTTGGATTTGTCTTCTTCCTTGCGCCATACATCAAACAGCTCCGCGTTTGAAAACTCGAAGTCGCTTGCAAAAAATTTATTTGCGCAGATAGTGCGGAAAAGTGCGCATTGAGACAAACTGCCTTTAAATCAAAATTAATAGCTCTACGACATACTTTTGGACGTACACTTATGGACCCTTATGGTCGTTTTATATGTCTCCACGAACTTGAAATATATTTCCAAAAAATGTGCTTTGAGAACGTTTACTGCTTTTACAAAATATTAATCGAACACGCACAACTAAAAAATATTAGTACAATCATTACATAATAAAAACCGTGTTATTGCTATCCATTTTAAATTTCACAAAAAGAATGTTTCGCGTTTGAATAGTGGCAATTTAAAAAAATAGGCTGCAAAAATATTGCATTGTTAACGCATGTGCTTTTTACAGCAACAGCTGACTTTAACAGCTACTAGACTTAACATTGTTCTGTTATATAACATTTTTGGTATTGGACTTTACAGTTTGAAGTTTTCTTAAGATGTTACCAAAAAAACAACCAATTTTAATACTTTGAGAAAATGACTAAATACCCGAAAATGGGAATTTTCGCCATAGTGAATGAACTCTATTCCAGTGTAAATTCGCCCATCGATGACATGGCCATGGAAGGCATCTCCAATATGCGGGTGCATGCCAGCTTTAATTTTTCCAATGCCAATTATGCCATCCGTTTGAGCGAGATCTACATTGTTAAGGTGAGGGAGGATCCATCCATATCTAAAGGAAAGGCATAAAGTATTTATATTTGATTCTTATCGCTTTAGTGCGCTGATTGGTAAACGACAAATGGTGGCAACTATGCGGACATCAGTCGCATTTCCGAGCAACTGGCCCGAAGCACATCGATGGCCCTGCTACCATTCCTGGATCTGCTTGCAGCGGCTGGCATTAATAAGGTGGGCCTCCGTGCCACGAAATCGATAGATATATACCCCCATATCCAATATATTAATGCTAATTCCGGTGGCCGGTGCTCGTGGATCGAAGCTTCCGCCACTGTACATGAATGCTTCATGGCGAATCGTCGGGCATCCAGGAGCCCATTATCCTCGAGCTGGTGTTCTACATACTAAATGCCTGAATATAATCCATCCCCCCCTCATAGTGCAATTCTTCTGCTGGAATCGAAAGCGATAAGTGAAACGCGAAATGCGAAACGCGATACGGAAACCGTCTTAAGTCTAAGTCCTACGGCTGATCCGTTCTCTAGTTGTATTGTCCGGGTGGCTCAGCTACAACAATAACTGTATATATATATATATAAGTAGTTCCATCGATTGGGTTTTTTTTCTCTTCACTTTTTCTACGACTTACCCTATCTTCTATCTCCTGCCTATCTAATGATATCTAAGATACCTAAAATATAAAAATATATCTATATATATATATTTCTATGTGATGTTTTTAATTAATGCAATTGAGTACTATATACATATATATAAAGATATACGTATATTTAAGCTATATGTGTATGAATTATAAACTATATAAAAATGTTGTTATGTTATGTAGTTATGTTATGTTAAATTATAAATTATTAAAAATGTTAAATTATTGCTTCTGTGTTTGGGCATATTTCTTAGGTCGATTTTGAGGCTTTATCCTGCTACTTTCACCATCCATCTGTCGGATTTCTGTGGAGCTTATATCGAACATTTTTACCCGCCATTTGAGTTATATTTTTTTATGAACATTGGTTGCCCCGTGGTACGACTGCGACTGCTGTTTGACAACGCAACAAATAGCAGCAACGTATGTCAGAATGTGCTTTCAAACAGTTTTTTTTCGGGCAAGAAAGGTGCGATGCATCTGTAGACAATGCAATTATAATTTTTTGTTTCGTTTTTAGATACTGCAGAAGGAACGTATGAGTCAGAAGGGAAAATGCATCACACAACGGAAGCTGTGAAACAGCTTTTGACATTGGGGTGCAATTGATTGGATTGAAAGATTTTGGAACACCCAAACGCCATTTAGATCGGTTGTTTACAATTTTTTGTTTCTCGAATGCGACTGCGACTGGCTTATAAAAGGGCGAGCAGCATTCGCCTGTATCTCTATATATATTTCTATGTGATGTTCTTAATTAATGATTTTCCAATTGAGTACTGTATACATATGTATAAAGATATACATATACGCGTATGAATGCTATTTGCTGTATGAATTATAAACTAAATAATAAAAATGTTGCTTAAATTATTGCTTCTGTGTTTGGGCATATTTCTGAGTTCGATTTTGATGCTTTATCCTGCTACTCTCACCATCCATTTGTCGGATTTCTGTGAAGCTTATATCGAACATTTTTACCCGCCATTTGAGTTATAATTTTTTTATGGGTTGCCCCGTGGTACCACTGCGACTGCAGTTTGGCAACGCAACAGATAGCAGCAATGAATGTCAGAATGTGCTTTCAAAAAGTTTCCTACTTCAAAGCCTGTTAATGACTGAACAGTTTTTTTTCGGGCAAGAAAGGTGCGATGCATCTGCAGATAATCCAATTATAATTTTTTGTTTCGTTTTTGGATACTGTACCAGGACAAACGAGAAGGAACGTATGAGTCAGGAGGGAAAATGCATCACACAACGGAAGCTGTGAAACACCTTTTGACATTGGGCTGCAATTGATTGGATTGAAAGATTTTGGAACACCCAAACGCCATTTAGATTGGTTTTTTACAATTTTTTGTTTCTCGAATGCGATTGCGACTGGCCTATAAAAGGGCGAGCAGCATTCGCCTGTGTCTCATTCGATGCAAGACTTTTGCGACACGTCTCTCTCTCAATATCCTGCGATGATTATCAATTGAAAAATAGTGAATATCAGTGCTGTGTTTAAATAATACTTTTTATTGTTGAAAATTATCCAACTGGCTGTTTTAAGGCTACAGCTGAACCGTGGGGGGAGTCTACATTTGGAAGCATCATATCATCAAGTAAGTCAACTAATTGTTTGCAAAACGAAACACCTAAGACAATTTGAACTTTAGAAATAAAAATATAAATACAGGGATTATTTGGGGAAATTTTATTTCTTAATTATTATATAGATATGTATAAGCTATAGGTAAACTTAAAAGAAATGATTAAAACCAAAAAACCGAATTTTTTACGCTTTCAATAAAGCAAAAACTGCTTGAAAGAATACCACAGAAAAATAAAGGGGCCAGAAAATTTGAAAACGATTTAAAAACATTGAGAAGCGCTTGAGCTTCGCAATTTTTAATGTTTACAGTTCTCCGGAGTACTGAAATGATTTAATTTTTTGTGACGAGACTAAAATAATTATGTATTATCATGATATACCAGGAAAAGTTTTTCGGTAAAAAAAAATAGCCCTCCAGGCTAAAAAAATTGTACATTGTGTTAAATTTTGGGTTAGCTTTCGATTATGGTGTGGGGCTGTATTTCATCCAAAGTCGTTTGAGAGCTGCGCATATTTAATGACATTATGACCAAAGAATTCCAGCAGCAAACTCAAATACAAGCTGTACAAGCTGCTGGGTGCTTTATAATTGCAGGAAAGTGATTGACACGCCCGCCTAGAGTCCGGATATCAATGCTATCAAAAATTTGTTTGCATATTGACAGCGTCAAATATGCCGTTATTTGGTTTTAATCATTTCTTTCGTATTTCGTAATTTTTGTTTGTCATACACATAGCTTATACATATCAATATAATAATTAATAAAAAAAATTTCCCAAATAATCCCTGTATTTATATTTTGAATGCTGAGTTGTAAACAATTAGTTGACATACTGTAGATAATGATTCGAATTTATTTGTGTTCCAAAATTGTCTTTAAATTCATCTTGGAATTCATCTTAGAATTGTATAGTCTCTGGTAACAATTCTTACAGTCTTTCCCAGCTCTACAATGCATATGCCGTTGAAAATCTGCTTTTCTTTTCACTTACTGATGCTTTTTGACATGGTCGGTACGGTCGACAGTTGGAATCAGATTTCCTCTTGCCTCCAGATTCTACATTCGATATGAAGCGCTGGGTATCAGCCGTGGACCTGGCCTCAAATCACATAACCAAGATCTTTTTGCGACGCAACAACCAGCAACGAGACGCAACGAGGAGGTGATCTCCGAGAACTATCTGAGGGCTGCGCGCATTTATGCAAGAGGTATCCACCTTCAAGCTGATTTTCCCACCTCACACTTATCGGTACTTCTTCTTGCTCTTCTCACCTCGGCACAGTTGTTAAAGTTCATTCTGGCGGACTACAGCCGGGGCATGACCAATGGTGAGTGATGTCTTGCTGGATGTGAAGATATTTCAGAGCGACGTCTGGGGTCGCAAGGGATGGGAGTATCAATAGTCATTTGTGTTATTAATGAATGCAGAATGCTGAGTGAACACTGCTCGGTATTCGATCTGTATGGACAGAGGATTCACTGAATCAATAATTCGGTGAATCATTGATTCACTGAATGCTCTGTCCATGCAGATTGCATATCGAGTTGTTTTCATTCCGCATTCTGCATTCATCGATACACACATGTATCGATACATACATGTATTGGTGCTGTCCATGTTACGATTCCACATACGTTGCGTTGTGGCCCCCTTCGGTCAGCGTCTCGTTCAGGGACATGCCCAGCAGATAATCGCCAATGGAGAAGTTGAACCCCTCATTCGCCGGGACATTGTCCGAAAAATACTGGATCTTTGGGCTCTCTCCACATCCAGGAAGACCCCACTAGCCATTGGTCCTGCCCCAGCTGTGGGCCGCCAGCATTAACTTTCGCATCAGAGCCTCAGAAACAGATAAAATATCGACTATTTTGAGATGGGAAGAGCAAGAAGAAGTACCGATAAGTAAGTGTGAGGTGGGAAAATCAGCTTGAAGGGCGATACCTCTTGCATAAATGCGCGCAGCCTTCAGATAGTTCTCGGAGATCCCCTCCTCGTTGCGTCTCGTTGCTGGTTGTTGCGTCGCAAAAAGATCTTGGTTATGTAATCTAGGCCCAGGTCCAGGGCCGGTACCCAGGGCTTCGTATTGAATGTGGCAAATGCGGGAAGCAGGAAATCTGTCAACCATGTCAAAAAGCATCAGTAACTGAAAATAAATGCAGTTTTTCAACGACAGATGCATTAAGGAGCTCCCAAAGTACTGTAAGAATTGCTACCAAAATGAATGGTTATCACTCAAAATCACAGAAACACGACAAATTTTAAGTTAGCTGATTCAATTTGATTTACTTCAATCCGAAATTCATAGTAAAAAATTGAATTAGAATATAATTAAGTGTGTTACTCGATTTATCGAATTACAGAAAAAACAAATTCGAATCATTATCTAGTTGATGCTACCGAATGTAGACTCCCCCCACGTTTCAGCTGTAACCTTAAGAATAGGCAGCCAGTTGGATAATTTTCAACAATTTAAAATAACCTTAAGCATAGGCAGCCAGTTGGATAGTTTTCAACAATTTAAAGTATTTTTTAAACACAGCACTGATATTTACTATATTCAATTGATAATCACCGCAGGATATTGAGAGAGAGAGAGACGTGTTGCAAAAGTCGTGCATCGAATGAGCCATAGGCAGAGCTAGTGAAGCAGCTAGCGGATAATATAATATAATATAATATAATATAATATAATATAATATAATATAATATAATATAATATAATATAATATAATATAATATAATATAATAATATAAAATAATATATAATATAATATACTTTTTTTAACAGTCGCGTTCGAAAAACAAAAAATTGTAAAACACCGATTCAGTTTGGGTCATTATCTCTCCTGATTTAATTCCAACCAACACCTCTTTTGTAATGTAGAAATGTAGTCCTGGTACAGTATCCAAAAACAAAAACAAAATTATAATTGCAGTATCTGCAGATGCATCTGCACTAATTTGGCCCCGAAAAAGAAACTGTTCAGTTTTTAAGTAACATTTTAATATATAGTTTGCAATTCATACTTATATATATACATATACATACATACATAAATACATATTTAGTACTCAATTGGAACATTTTTGGTAACATTTTTATATAGTTTGCAATTCATACTTATATATATACATATATAGTACTCAACTGGAAAGGCATTAATTGTGACCGTCGTAGAAGTCGATGATAGGGTCAGGTTGTTATGCAGATCGTTCAAGGCGTTCACCACCTCCATGGGCTTGTTGCGGACGCACAGCTCTTTGAAGCTCACAATGTTGCTCATGTAAATGGTCACGCGGCTGAGCTCCACCAGCTGCTGGACCACGGGTTGCGGCAGAATCTGGCACAGTAGCTCC